CCGCGCCCCCCCCGCCCGGGGGGCCGGGGGGGGGGGCAGCTGTATCGGCTCTACCGACCACCTCCATCACTCAAGCCGATGACCAGAGCAATCGAGGGTTTGGAGTTTGCTGGTGGTCGTCTGGGGTTTCCTTCGCACCCTGTCACGCCGATGACCAGAGCAATCGAGGGTTTGGGCTTTTGATGGTGGGCGTCCGGGGATCCTTCGCACTCTGGCAGCTTAGGATAAATTATTTTAATTAAAAATAAACAAAATATATAGATATATATATATATATTTAAAACTACTTTTAAAACACTTCAAATTTCAAATATGTATATAAAAGTTATATATATAAGTTAGAATTCAGTCCATCAAATTTGTTCAACAAGATTTACATGCAAGGGCATTCAATTCTTATATATTTACATGTATATAATACCTAAAGTTTAAGTTTTGCATTCATGTAATTATGCAAGAAAAAAATATATTTAACTTTTGAAAAGCTAAAATGATGATATTTTTATGTCATGTGAAAGATTTAGGTGTTTAATGGTGTAGTGACATGCATACCACCCAATTCTTATCTATGTATATATCTAATATCTAAACTCAACTTTTTTACTATTACATCACCCAATTTTTATCACCATTTTAACTTTTCAAACGTGAAAAATTTGAAATACACTTGTGCTTGTTTGGCAAATTTTAACAAAAATAATAAACTGTGTAATAAGAACAATAAGACCCAGCTTGACTTCCATCACTTTGGTTCACTCGCTACCTCTAAACTCACTTTAGGTTGCTAACCCTAATTTTATGATTAGATCGAGGTGACGTGTGTTTTGTTGTGCTTGTTTTGATTTGTTCATTAATATGTTTGGTTAGGGCGGATTTTTTGCGGTAGAGTTGATGTTTTGGACGAGTAAAGAGACTTTTCTTTATGTTCTGTGAAATTTCACTTACTTGTTCTTAATTACTCACTTTGTTTTGTATGGTTATAATAAACTCCGGATGCGTTAACTTTATTTTGCATAGTGCGGCAGTAAATTTAGAATGTACTAAATGTGATTAATTACTCACTTTTTTTCTAGAATTAGATTGTATGTCAGTTGGTCAATTATTGACATTTGAATTATCCAAGGGAATATGAATACAAAACAAAGGATGAACATCAACTAAACCAATAACGATAGTCATATGACACAGTTGGTCAACAAGTCTGTCATAGGTCTATGGTTGGTTGTCATTTCTGCTGTCGTTTTACTGATGTAATTGTTGTGTTTTTGCTTGATAGGTTTGTCCAAATTTCAGTCGTTGTTTTTATATGCTTTTTGTCTGGATTACTGGTAGGCTTATTAAGAACTAAATTTTCTATCCCAAAATAAATAATTTCAACATAATTTTTCAAAATCAATAAACTCATAACTAAAGAAAAAAACAAAACAAAACATTACATTCACACTTTAGAACAACATGCATTTAAAACAAAAAAGTTGAAATTAAATAAAAATGAGTAGAAATTTCTTTTCTATTTAGGAATAGTCACAAAAAGAATATTTTAGATATATGCATTCATATTAATTTTATTTCTTATCTTCAAACCCACACTCATTGAATGAAAAAAGTGATTTGTCTTTTAAGGATCACCGTCTTATAGATTGAGGGCATGTTTTAAGCAGATTATCTGTTGTGTTTGCATTTTCAAAACGCTGTCTTTCCGTTTGGTTTCTTCATTTTCGGTGTGTTTCGTGATACATGGGTACGACTTTTTAATAAACGTCGGTCGCGAACTCTCATCTCATGCCTTAGGTGCCTCTTCAGTCCTCTCCTCAGCCCTCATCACATGGCTTTGATCGCTCCCTGATTGTCCCTTTCACGCGCCTCTCTCACACGTCTCTCTCTGACTCGTCTCTCTCGATTGTTTCCTTTCTTCTCCTCTTCCTCTCTGCGATCTGTGGTTGTGGTGCTCAGTAAGTAATATTATTGCCTTTTTTGTGGTGATTTTCAATGAAATAGATTTCCTCTGAGTTGTGGAGAATTTTGAAGGCATGGCTTTTTTCTGTGATTTTTTTGCTTTCTCCTTTTTTTTGTGAGTAATACCATACTCTCTCAACTGTTGCCTTTGGTTGGGTGTTGGATGGTAGACTTGGGTGTTAGACTTGTTTTGATTATTCTCATGAAGAACCTTCATGTATCCTATAAAACAAAAGTGGCATGTAATTATCGATTTCTGCTGAAATTTTGATGGTCTTCTTGTGCCTGGGTTGTGACTTTCTTCAGGGTTATCGTTAGTGCAAAATTATTATAATGGAACTAATTGCTTAAAATTCAAGGTTTTTTTTTATTCATTCGAAAGGTAATACTACTTGGCCAAAAGGTTAATGCTAGCAGTATAGAGCAAATTTTCTTTTTGGTGAAACTCAAATAAATTGTCAGATTCACTGTTGCTAGTGATTGGGTGTTGGTGATGGTGGTTGAATTTGGGTGTGTGTGTGTCTCTCTCTAATGTCGCCTTCAGTTGGGTGTTGGTGATGTAAGTTGACTTGCCATTTTGATGTAGTGATTGCTAAAAAAAGTGTAGAATTAGTAATTAACTAAGGTTGTTGGGGGAAAGTAGAGCAGTTAACTGTTTTATTTGGCACATGAGCTCTTAGTCTTGATGCTAGCCTACCTTCTCCATGGGGGGAATGATTGAATGTGCGATTGTATTTTCTTGTAACTTTTGGAGATATCATTTAGTATGTTTGATGTGTGGCCTTTGACTTTTTTTTGTTGATGGTAATAGTGCAATTTGGATGTGTTGAGAGAGCGAAAATAGTTGAATTGAGATAGCAGATAAATGACATAATTGTTCGATGTTGACTGGAGGTCTCTGTTGACCTCATTTTTGGTTGAGGTCTACTTTTTCTCTTTAGTAGCCTAAGGTCTAGCCATAGGACATTCCTATTGACTATTCTTAGAGAACTAGAAAAAGCACCCTCACCATTAGAAATTCTAAACTCTTCTTTACTCAACTTGAATTTCCACATATTGGTCCTAACCTCTAGCACTTAGTAGGTGTGGTCATTATGGGGGAGCTCAAGGAGAGTTCCTATAGGGCTATTTGACCTTAGGGTTGACCTTGGGTGTTGGGCTAGAGCTAAGGCACTCACTTCACTCACAATCACTCACTACCCTAAACCCAAAATTTCTTGACTTTGATCCCTTTATACTTTTGGGATACTCATGTAGATGGTCTCCTAAACCTACTAGCCCTATGTTGGGGTTTAGCAAAGACCAGTACATAGAGGACCCAAATGGGGTTTCCATTGATCAATGGCTTACTTTTGGTGGTTAGTTCCCCAATCTTATCGAAAATACCCATCATGACTTTTTGCCCATAATCTACCCCAAATTACTCTAGTACCATTGAAACCCTAAATTTGACCAAAATTCTCAAATTTATCCAAAATACCCAAAATTTTTCAAAAATCATTTCAAACCTTTTGCAAACACCCAAATTACCCAAAATCACCAAGAATTGCAAATTACCAAAATACTCCTCCTTAGCCTAAAATTCAAAAAATCCCAAAAAAATCCCAAAATATTAAAACCCCCAAATTTGCCTTTAAGGGCCCAAATTTCCCCAAATTCAACACAAATGTCCATCAATTTGATTTCAATTGGCCCCAATTTGAATCCTAAACTCAAATTAACTCTTGATATGACCAATATAGTCTAAATAAAAGCTTAATTGGCCATAATTTGAGCCCAATTTTGATTTAGGTCAAAACCCCAATGTTGACCATATGACATAATCTCACCAAATTGAACCCATAGCCTAGTCAATTATCCCCAATTAATATTGAAAACTCTTTATAACATTCTTACACATCAAAATTAACCATCAATTAGCCTTGGTGAAGTCTCAATTTCATTTAATTTTGACTTAAGTCCAAAATCCCCAAATTTCAAAAGCCCCAAATTGGCTATA